GGAATTTCGGGATCAGTTTGTTCCGGGAGGGATTTCGGGATCAATCCAATCCTTTCCTGAGGAATTTTGGGATCTCTTTATTCCCTGAGGGATTTTGGGATCAATTCCTTCCCTGGGGAATTTAGGGATCAGTTTGTTCCCAGAGGGATTTTGGGATCAATCCTTTCCCTGCTGGAATTCCTGAGGAATCAGCTCCTGGAGGGATTTAGGGATCAATTCCTTCTCTTGGGAATTTAGGGATGAATTCCTTCCCTGGGGGAATTTCGGGATCAGTTTGTTCCCAGAAGGATTTTGGGATCAATTCCTTCCTGGAGGGATTTTGGGATCGATCCTTTCCCAGATGGAATTCCTGAGGAATCAGCTCCTTCTTGGATTTTGGGATCGATCCTTTCCCGGATGGAATTCTTTAGGAATCACCTCATTTGGGAATTTCGGGATCGATCCTTTCCCTGAGGGATTCCCAGAGGCCCCAATTCCCTCAGGAATTCCCGCAGGAACCCCATTCCCTGTTGGATTCCTTAAGGAATTCCCTCCTCATCCCATTTTCCCTCCCTGTTATCCCTCATTTTCCTTGGAATTCGCTCCCAAAACCACCCGAAAAAGCGGGAAAAAACCATGGATTTCAGTTTCTCTTCCCGTTTTCCGGGGGTTTTATCCCAACTTTCCCACCAATCCCTGCCTGGAGCTGAGGGAAAGAGGGAAAAGGGCCCCGGATCATCCTGGAATTCCTGGGTTTTCCATGTTTTTCCCTGGAAAAGTAACGCTTTGTGTCCATGTTTGCAGTTGACATGGATGATGAAGACGGGCGGTGCCTCCTCGATGTCATCTGGTGAGTCCTGGGGGGCGGAATTCCCAAAAAAAAAAGTGGGAATGGCCCGGAAAGGGTCTGGAAAGGGCAGGAAAGGGCCCAAAATTGGCTGGAAATGGCCCAAAATGGGGGGAAAATGGCCCAAAATGGGCCAGGAACGGCCCAAAAAAGGTGGGAATTGTCCTGGAAAAGGTGGGAATTGTCCTACAAAGGGAGGGAAAAGGTGGGAATTGTCCTGGAAAGGGCGGGAAAGGTCCCAAAACCAGCTGGAAATGGCCCAAAATGGGGGGAAAATGGCCCAAAAAGGGGGGAAAACGGCCCCAAAATGACCCGGGAATGGCCCCAAAAAGGTGGGAATTGTCCTGGAAAGGTGGGAATTGTCCTGGAAAAGGTGGGAAATGTCCTGGAAAAGGTGGGAATTGTTTTGGAAAGGGTGGGAAAGGTCCCAAAATTGGCTGGAAATGGCCCAAAACGGGGGGAAAACACCCCAAAATGGGCCGGGAACGGCCCAAAAAAGGTGGGAATTGTCCTGGAAAAGTGGGAATTGTCTTGGAAAGGGCGGGAAAGGTCCCAAAATTGGCTGGAAATGGCCCAAAACGGGGGGAAAATGGCCGCAAAAAAATGGGAATTGTCCTGGAAAAGGTGGGAATTGTTCTGGAAAAGGTGGGAATTGTCCTGAAAAAGGTGGGAATTGTCCTGAAAAGGTGGGAAATGTCCTGGAAAAGGTGGGAAATGTCCCCAGACTGGTGGAAAAGATCCCAAAAAAGGCTGGGAATGACCCAAGAAGGGCAGGAAATGTCCCCAAAAGGGCTGGAAATGTCCCAAAATCCACGGAAAACGTCCCAAAAGGGTGGAAAACGTCCGGAAAACGCTGGGAAATGTCCCGAAAAAGGCCAGAAATGCCCCAAAAAGGGTGGGAAACATTCCCAAAAAAACCTGGAAATGCCCCCAAAAGGGCTGGAAACTCCCCCAAAATGCGGGAAACGTCCTAAAAAAGTTGGGATATATCCCAAAAAAGACCGGGAATGTCCCGAAAAGGGTGAAAACCATCCCAAAGCCCCCCGGGAGCACCCCCAGGGTCCCTCCAAAATCCCAAATTTTGGGATCTTCCCTGGAAAAACCCCTCCAGAATTCCTCCCCCATCTCCCAAATCCCGGAATTCCGCTCCCTAATCCTCTTTTCCCGTTTTTTTCCCAGCGATCCTCAGGCCCTGAACGATTTTTTACATGGATCCGAGAAGGTGAGAAAGACCCAAAACCCCCCAAAATTCCCTTTTTCCCCCCAAAACTCCCCTCGTTTTCCATCCCATCCCCCCCTCCTTCCATCCATCCCGACTTTTTCCAGCCCACTTGGGGTTTTTTAGGAATTTTTCCCGCCAGCCCGGAGGGATTTGGGGCCATTTGGAAGCGGAGGGGCCGCCCCTCACCCACCACCACATCCCACTTTTCCTTTGCAATCCCAGGTTTTTTTCCCATTTTTTTTCCTCATTTTTTCTCCATTTTTTTCTCATTTTTCCCCATTTTTCCCCCCATTTTTTCCCATTTTTTTTCTCATTTTTCCCCTCCTTTTTTCCCATTTTTTTCCCATTTTTTCCCATTTTTTTTCTCATTTTATTCCATTTTTTCCCTATTTTTTCCCCATTTTATTCCATTTTTTCTCATTTTTTCCCATTTTTTTCCCCAATTTTTTCTCATTTTTTCTATTTTTTTCCCATTTTTTTTCACTTTTTTTCCCATTTTTCTCCATTTCTTTTCTCTATTTTTTCCATTTTTTTTCATTTTTTCTCCATTTTTTTCCCATTTTCTCCCCATTTTTTTCCCCATTTTTTTCTCATTTTTCCTCCATTTTTCCCCATTTTTTTCTCATTTTTTTTCATTTTTTAACCTATTTTTCCCCCATTTTTTTCCCATTTTTCCCCCATTTTTCTTCCATTTTTCCTCATTTTTTCCCATTTTTTTTCCCATTTTCTCCCTTTTTTTTTCCATGTTTTTTTCCCCCCTTTCTCCCAGTAAATCCCAATAAATCCCGTGTTTTTAATTCCAGATTGACAGTGATGATCTCCTGGACAACTCAGGAGATGCTGCCAGTGCCTTTTTTGAAGGTGCTGGGGTAGGTATTCCCGTTCCCCTTTCCCAGTTTTCCCGGTTTTTTTGGCCTTTCCCGAGTGGAATTCCATCCCTTTCCCAGGGCTGGACAAACAGGCAAAACCCCGGGAATTTTTCCCAGGATAAAATCCCAAAATCCATCAATTTAAGGGCAAAAATAAAGATATTTATTGAACTTTGGGAGCTGCTTTTCCCGACGGATTCGGCTCCGGGAGAAAACCCGGGATGGAAAAGGGAGAAAGGAGGAACCCCAGGAATCCTGGAAACTTGGGAAACCCCTGGAAAACTCCGTTCCTGGGGAGAAAAATCCCGTTTCTCCCAATTCCTCCGGAGCCCCCCCGGAGCAGGGGGGGGGAAAATCCGGAATAAACCCGGAATTCGAGCCGGAAAACGCCCTTTTTTCCCTCCTTTTCCCCCAAAAACCTGGAATGCTGTGCATGGAGAACGAGCATGACCCCCCTGCTTGTTTATTCCCTTGAGTTTTCCCTCGATTTTCCTGGTTTTCCCTGGAATTTTCTTTCGTTCGGGGCCGTTTTTTTCCCTCCTAAAAAAATCCCGACTTTTCATTTTTATCCCAATTTTTTTTTTTTTCCTTTCAGTTTTATTTTTCCTCTTTTGCTTTTCAGCCCAATCCCAACCCGGTTATCCCAGAAATCCTCCCCTTTTCCCGGGATTTCCCCTTTTCCCACCGGCTCCGACTCGGCCGCGGGTCGGGATTTTTTTTCCCATTTTCCCCCCTTTTCCCGCGGGATTTTCCCCTTTATTTCCCCAAAACCCTCCTTGTCCCTCCGAGCTGGAGATTTTGGAGTGGGGAAAACCCGGAATTCCGACGGTTCGGAGCCGGAAGGCCCAAAAATTCCGGAGTTTGGAGGAGTTTGGAAGAGTTTGGTTGAGTTTGGTGGAGTTTGGTTGAGTTTTGGTTGAGTTTTGGTTGAGTTTGGTTGAGTTTGGT